ATTCTTATCAGATTTCGGTTACTAGATGTCGTGCTTCTCCATTAAACCTTCTTGTTTACACCTAACTACCGAATCGTGGAATATCCTCCCACATTTTGTCTTTGCCCCAACTTACAATCTGGATCTTACGTGAATGTTCCCCTACTCTCCGTTTTACAATATGCTATTTGTTTATGGGGATTCACCCTTTTCACAGTATGTGTACTAACAAAAGAATTAGTTTAGTTACAGACAGACTACTGAGGACATAGCCGAACCAATACCGACGTTTCCACTACAGGAAAGAGCGCATTCTGTGTTGACGCAGCGTTGGCGGACACCTTCGTTGGAAAAGATGGCCCAGTTTGAGGCTTACAGTCTATCCGTCACTTACCATGGCATACAGTGAAAGAAATCACTCAGGTAAAAATATAGTGTCCCCATGCGGAACAGGGTATGTCACTAAGGTCTAGTTGAAACGTAACTGCTTCGTTTTATACAAGGCTAGACCGTCAACTATTACTGACCCTTATTTTTTTGATAAAATTATAATAAAAACAAAGATCATGCTTTTATGCACTGTTGTTATAAAAAAAATTATCTCCGAACTTTAAACAAAGCCATTAATAAAAAACGAGTACAATAATCTCTGTCTTTAAGCAAATACCCTGATAAAAAAGAAAAGATTGCAAGATTCGATTTGAAACGGAAGATCATGATCAAAATCATTTGGGGGAAAGACGAGTAGGATCACCAACATTTCGGAGGATCTTCCAATCCAGGTACAGTGACCTCACCATCCCTGCCGTAGTAACGTTGTCTCAAGGTACGGTATTTACGTAGAGAATATAGAGCTTCCAACTCCTTAACCACGAATTGACCATGCCGAATAAGTTGACGAATCTCTTCCGGTTCTGTGATGTTTCGGTTCTTGATAAATGCAGTGTGAAGACGTTTCTTAAAATACTGATAACCCTTCGGATACTCTTTGCCCAGGTGCAAAAGCTGTACAAGTGAAAAAACAAGAGCAATTACCGAAACATAAAGTAATATTTGTAAAAATGAGGTGACAAAAGTATGGAGGATTCTATATGTGGGTGAGACCGGGTCGCTTCTGCGAGCCAACAACTCTAAACCCATGCTCGAGGAGCGAACATCGGTGAAATCCCTCGGTATTATTAGTGGGTAAGTCGCAAACCCGGATGTTTCCAGGATTTGTCGTGGATCGCAACGGAGCTGTGCGCCATGCAGGGATCTTCGGGTTGCGAATAAAAGAACAACCTTAACGTGATAAACATGGGGGACGCATTAGGTTAACGGTTAACGACCGCCAACCGAGAGGTCTGGTGCGTTTTCATCTGTAAAGCGATTTTGCAAAAAAAAAACAATGAATACCCGTAGATAGCACAGTGACGTGTGTGAATGTAAAAAAGGGATCTTGAGAAGTAATAATCTGAGGATTGAAAACAATTCAGCAGTTGATTGTTCACATGAAGCAAACCTTGGTTACTTGCTCGGTAGATCGACTTGCGGAAGCAAGACCACCTATTTATTTCGCGTTGTCTCCTAGTTACTTGTGAGTAGTAATGCGTGGTTGTATTGCAATGACGTACAAGCTTACATTTCAGTAAAAAATGTTCGCCGTTGCAATCGGATAAAAAAGATTCATACATTACAATGATACAAACTAAACAGAAGATTATCTTTGTACATTTAAGATCCTATTCTTGTCAGTTCCGCTGCATGCCCGGATGGTTTACATCCAGCGATTGTAATCAACCGATGGAAACCAATTATGTGCCAACAAAAAGACTTGTTCATCATCTTGACTTTGCCTTGGTGACGCCTCCCCCATTTACAAGTGTTTATTTTGTGATTCATATATAAACGTTGTATTTGTCTGCAGTAAGCATCAGTTGAGTAGTTTATTGTTAAAGGTACTCTTCAGATTTGGTGCTGCTCCCCTAGCTGGGGCAATCATCTCTTTACACTTCAACTAGCCCCGATTGTTGGAGACCGGTCACAATCATACCTATCCCCAAAACATCCAACTCTTCTATCCTCTCCAAACTTTTTCGTCCCATAGCATAAACATCTTCAGCCCTTGAATTGACTGAAAAGGCTATCCTCAAACGCCTTTAGCAGTCTATAAACAGTCCCAGTGACCCGTTACACTGCGCTTACAAGCCTAATAGATCCACCTTGGACACAGTTTCTACCCTTATTCATTTTATCACCAAGTCTTTAAACAACTCTGTTAAGTCTGTTTGGTATGTTTTTCTGGACTACTCTTCAGCATTTTTTAAAATTACACACGAAGTGATTTACAGCAAAAGGGGCAAACCCCATAATCAATGATATACTATAAGGAGAAGGTATGTGGGGGAACATTCAAGTAAGAACCAATTTGTTGATCCTGTTTTGAAAACGGTAAGGTTATAAGAGCTGGGAAACACGGAAATAGGAAGAGTGTTCCACAATTTCGCAGTCCTCGGGAAAAAAAGATTAAAAGCTAGAAGTCCGACATCTAGGGACAGAAATCTGATGAGGGTGACTGGTCGCCTGAGAACGAGATGGACGACAGAAGGTCAATAGAAGGCGAACCGCTGAAGCGAGTTCGGAAGAGCAGAAACCAAAATAGTCACGATAGAAGCAACTACCCAGCGATGGGGAAACAACTGGAAGGTGGAAGTTAAAGACGGTTCGTCGATCGGCCGGATGGCTTTACGTTGAACATGGTCGAGGAGAGAAATAGTGGAATACGAAGTTCCACCCCATACGTAGCTGCAGTATTCAAGCATCGAGCGGATTTGAGCGTTGTATAAAAGAAGGTGCTTGGGTGTTAAGAAACGCCTTGCGCGGAATAGAAAATCAACTTTGCGCGCAATGCGAGAGGAAAGTGTAGAGATAAAGGGGGACCAACGGAGAGAAGAATATATCGATAAACCCAGGAGGAAGAGAGAATTTGTGGAACGAAGGGGCAGGGAATCAAAAATCAATTGAGGAGAAAAGGAGACATTTGATTCCACTCCTCGATTTAAGTTGTTACAAAAACTGAAATCGTTTGAATGCCCCAAGCAGTTGTTAGCTTGGCTATCCAACTATTATACTGATAGAGTACAAACCACTAGATTGGGAAAGGCTTCATCCAAACTCTTAGTCAACAACTCCGGAGTTCTTCAAGGAGCTTTGCTATCCCCATGTTTATTATTCACTTATATTTGTGACATTCCCTGTGTTTCTCCCGCTCGAATTTTGAAATATGCAGATGTTGTACTGTGACAACCCATTTTGTTCTTACTACGACCTAAGCTCCTTCACCAACAATAGTGATCAAATTCACTCATTCTTCTCCTTATCGGGACCAAGCTTAAACCCCAGTAAATGTATTGAGTGTTTATACAGTTTTGCTCGCTCTCCATATCCGACAGACCCCACAGTGATTAATAGCAATCCTTTATTTAGGGTGAACTCTATCAAATATCTTGGTGCAACCATAGATAGTAATCTTCATAAGTCTACTCACATCCACAACTGCAGTGGTAAACTATGGTACCTATCATTTCAAATTTGATAGCTCAGACAGTTTCGTGCATCCTAGTCAGGTATTTCTACCTTTGTTTATCAGCATGTTTTCCTCATCTTACTCTACTGTTCCCCAGTTATTTCTCCTGACTTACTCAAACAGGATTTCAGTCTTATGCCGAGGTATAACTATTATCAGCCGTGTCTCTTCTATTCCTGTGAATGAGTTAGCTTTGAGGCTTTCAGAGTATCACGTATCTTCCTGTGTGAAATTTTCTGAGAGAATTCTCACAGATCCTGATCACCCATTGCATGCAGACCTGACAAGTTGTCGTTCCCATCATTTACCACGCTCCCAATTCTGTCGAATTTCATCTCGAATTAACGCTTAACGCAATTCACCTATACCGTATCTTGCTCGTCTACTCATAAACAAAGAGCGAACAGTAAATGAACTTAGTCCTTACCCTGGATTATGAAATATCCCCATATCTGGAAACACTTTCACCCAGTTTATTATGTACATTGTGACGGTTATCGTGTATGATTTTTTAACTGAAATGTGAGCCCCAGTGCTTGCAAAAGTTATACGCAATACAATACGCAATAGAATGAGCCAAAAAGGGTACTTTTGAATTGTGATAAATGTTTACGCGGGCAGTTAAGCAGCGATAATTGGATCGGGTTGTAGTGTGCAAACGGTAAGCAGATAAGTTGGGATCATGTGGATGACCGCGGTCGTTGAGTAACTTATGGGTGCTATTCCCACATGAAGTAATCAGATCACACAATTTTTTGATTACAATGTTTGGGGGAATGGGAAGATCGGCTAATGATTACGAAACCGCGGTGAACAGTAATGAAATCCTTATAAAGTAGGTCAGGGAAAATAACGGGCGAACAATGAAGTGTGAAATTCTTAATTCCGATGGACCACCTTCCAATTTTATCACCAAAAACCATTTTCAGTTCATCAGAATTGAGGTTCGATCTCAGTAAAGATAACCGGTAGTTCATATATACAGACCTATTTGGGGGGTTGAAATCCGGACCCATCGCATGTGTTATGACTGAGCAAACTGGGCTCTACTATTTTCGTAGTGCATGATTGACTGGATGAACCGATGATTGCTATTATTTTCGCACTTTTCAAACAGATTGGTTGAGTAACTCCGAAGAGACTGAACTGAAAAGGTGTGGAAGATCGCAGTTTTCCAAATTCTACTGAGCTTCATTTACAGTACTTATTCATAAGTCCGACTGTCGATAGAACCAAGAGCTGTGCAACGATGCAAACTCATAGTAATAAAAAGAACGTATTAATAAAAATAACGATAGATTTGGATTATTTGAAATCATCACAGTGAACTCACTTGCTTGTAGAGGTTAAGAACCTCCCATCGCAAAAGATGGGTCATGAGTTGCAGTTGAATGAAATTTCGTCACTTTGAGAAAAGAAAGATAACGAGTATCTGGATTCAATACTCAAAACGCATAGCTGCAATGCTATATAGAATGAGGACAGAGCTTGGTGGACCATAGAGATTATTGTACTGTGATTTGTTTGGCACGGCCTGGACTAAGCCGTGTGAGCATATATAT